TCAGGGTCAGGTCATCACAGGTCACAAAAATATTATATCATGCGTCGGTCACGTGACACATGTTTTATGGTCCATTTAGGCCCTAGATTTCGAATTTGATGTCGTCTGTGTCATTCAAGGTCATTTTGAGTCGAAATTAGCTTAGGTCAGGTCACTTTCAGGTCAAAAAAGGTCAAATTTTGAAGTTAAAATTTTTCAACAAAAAAGGTGTCTATTGGATGCAATTTGAGCTCAGGAACACGATGGTGCCATTTATATTGGTGTACGATGCCAAATACGTACTGAAAAAGTGATTTGAAAAATTAATAATTGTGAATTTTTTGCAATAATGCGTATAACTTGGCCATTTTTGAAGATATTTAGCTAAAACTTGCTAGAGTTAGTCATAATCATGCGTTCTGTCACATATATTCCGGTTTTTTCGAAAAGTCAAAAACTTTTTGAAAAAAATATAAAAATATAAATTTTGAATATTATTATATAAAATTTTCGAAATTTTCAAATTTTTGAAAATCCGAGATAGCAGTTTGATAGCGCGGTCAATTCTGAGTCCTTTCATGCAAAGAAATTGGATCTAGCTTAAAAACTGAGCTCTTGGGAGCGATTGCCGTGGTTCAATGTTTTGCGTCGAAATCGGACGAACATGACGTCACTCTGACGTCATTTCCGGCCGACCTATGGTAGCTACGAAGTTCAAATTTTGACACAAGGTGTCAAATTGATGCAGCCGAAGGTACTGAAAGTTTGGCGTCGATTCGTCAAGCGGTTTGGAAGTTATTGCAGAAAAACGGGAGGGGGGGCTATAAATAGCCCCCCCCCCCCAGTGGGGCGCGGGTTAAAAGCTCATTGCACCCCGATCGGGGATACGGCAGAAGGTATTGTTTTTTATCGTTGCCACTCGAGCAAACGGCACATGCCAAAGAGCTGGGGACCTGTTGCGTCTGACAGGTGTCGACAGCTGAAACTGATGTAGCAGCTGAAGACAGTCAATGTGGCCGTGAAACACACCGTAAAGGAACATCAGGTCATGTTGCATGAGACGTGATTACTGATTTGATCGAGGGAACGTTAAAATGCTGAAGTAGGTGATCATAGCTAAGATTTTGTAAGCAAGTGTCACTAGAACAGGCCAGCCAGATGAGAAATGTGTGCTGAATACGTTCGAGTCTTTTGAGGTGAGTCACAGTGCACCCGACCAGACCACACTGCCGTATTCGATGATGGAGCGAACATGAGCGTAAAACACAGACAGTAAAGTATTAAACCTTTTGACATGACATGACCTTTTCCGGTCAGGTCATGACCTTTCAAGTTCAAATTTTCAAGTTGACCTTTCAAGGTCAAATTATAGTTCATTCGACGCGTCTCGGCGAGAAAAATACGATTCTGGCAATAGAAATGTCGTGACTTGTTTTAGTCAAAAGTTATTGTCGAAAAACACTTTTCGTAAAAACAGCTATTTTTGGATTTTTTGCCCTCTGGAGGCTAAACCGTTGACCTGAGGTCAATTTTGATGATGACCTTATCAAAAGAAGAGTTTAAAAGCTATCGATTGAGTTTCCATGCGTTCTTCTAGCTATCATAGTTCCTGAGATGAATGCATGTTTTCTGAAAAATATGATGACATTTGGTAAATTTTGACCTTTGATGACCTCCAGTGACCCCAATATTGCTCTGAGATGAAAAAATGACCGAAATACTTTCAAACGTACGCATTAAGAGCTATGGACTGCTTTTTACCGCGTCTTTCTAGCCCTCTTAGTTCTTGAGTTAGAGGTGGGTGGTAACATATGCCCCCCCCCCCCCCCACTAGGGCGAAGTTGGCTGAGACCGCCACTGGGGCGCGGGTTAAGCGGATTCCACTGTAGTAAGATAGTTCAAAAAGGAACAAGGTAAGAAAGTCAATGAATGAATGACAGCCAGAAGACATGGACAGTGAACTGCCAAGTTCGCAAATGGATGAAGACCAGTCAAAAGAATAAGACAAAAAACGCCGCGCAGGGTGGAACCGTGAACGCCACCCGCTTGGCAATGAAAAGGTGGAATGACTGGTTTGAAGTTTAAAAAAAGAAATTAGTCCGAACCAGTCCAAACCTTAGGGAGGATTCACAAGGACAGAGCCACCGCTAAGCGAAACTTGTTGCGCTGACCTTGCCATCTACCATCCGATCGCGCAATTCCGGTTCTATGGCAGAATTTAGAGTCCAAAGTTTAACGTGCGCACATAGCCGCGCTCGGCCGGTCCCCTCACTGACTTCGCCTGGCTACGGCCTGCCACCAACCGCAACCATACCTGTCAGGACTGCATTGCGAGTCGGCATAGATTCAATTGACCGTAACTATTGGCGGCCCAGTTCGGTAAATGAGCATTGTGTTAGACTTACTTTGGACTGTTCGACAGTTTTCATTTCGTTAGTTTATCCGCTGTTCATTTTCGAACGGTGTCACAGTATATCGACAAGGGCACTTTATATCGACGCTGACAATAGATTTAGTCTTAGGTCACTTAATTTAGTCGCTTTGCGATTGAATTAGGCAATACAAAATTGATTTCGTTAACATATAATTCGATTTTTATATTTGTTTTTTTTTCATCGGACGATGAAAATATTAGGCATGTGTTTTTGTGTTGATAAACTCATGTACACCTTTTTTCATTGCGAGTCGGCATAGATTCAATTGACCGTAACTATAGGCGGCCCAGTTCGGTAAATGAGCATTGTGTTAGACTTACTTTGGACTGTTCGACAGTTTTCATTTCGTTAGTTTATCGGCTGTTCATTTTCGAACGATGTCACAGTATATCGACAAGGGCATTTGATATCGACGCTGACGATAGATTTAGTTGAGTATCCATGACAGGTTGGATGATGATGTAAATAATAAACCAAATTATTACAAATGCATTCAAATATATTCAAAAAGACACACAAAGCTTTCGGTTCATGGAACCTTGATCACTGTGCAAAATTTGCACAGTGATCAAGGTTCCATGAACCGAAAGCTTTGTGTGTCTTTTTGAATATATTTGAATGCATTTGTAATAATTTGGTTTGTTATTTACATCATCACGATAGATTTAGTCTTAGGTCACTTAATTTAGTCGCTTTGCGATTGAATTAGGCAATACAAAATGGATTTCGTTAACGTATAATTTGATTTTTATATTTGTATTTTTCATCAGACGATGAAAATATTAGGCATGTGTTTTTGTGTTGATAAACTCATGAAGTATGTAGCAAACTGACCACGTGGCGTCATAGATACATCCTTTACACTTGAACTTCTACTGGTTTCCGGTAGGCTAGGTGACCTCAAGCCAGGTCAGTGTGCTTGTGTCATTTGTTATCAAGATGCCGAGCCGCCGCCATACAGTTTGTGCCGCGGACTGCGAGAGAATAATCCAAGCGGTGGCAACGATAACGTTGCTGTGGCCCGCCAGTTGAGCGTAAAGAGGACGACCGGCTGGTTCATCGTGGCAAAGTGGATGCGTACCGGGGAGTCTGCTGCACGGAGGAGAGGGGGCAACCGACCGAGGAAGCTGGATGACATGATCGACTTCTACCTGATGCTGATTGACGACGACCCGAACAACCGGCGCCTGTCTGGCCAGAGAGGACACCTGGGCCGGGTGACCGCACCGGCGCGGCGACAACTGGCGGCGGCGGAGCGTTCAGTTGTGTGCATTTATTTTGCTGCTTGTGTTCATTGTTATTGCAGTGTTACGTTATGTTTTTTATGTGGCATGGCCATTGGCCATACACAAATGAAATTTTGTCTATCATGTTGCATTTTTTTTTAACCAGAGGCATTTCAAGCCGATGAGCCATTACTGTGGATTGAAATGATTCGTTAGCTGCATATATTTATTTGTTTAATAAAATATACTTGTATTAAAACCAAATTGTGTTGTATCGTGCAGTGGGACTAAAAAATAATTATATGGTGTTTTACGCACGTGTTACCAATTCATTATCTGCGAATATTTGTAGAGACAGTTCTTGTAGAGACAGTTCTTGTAGAGCAAGTTCAATCAAATCAAATACAGTTATGGGTATGTCGATTATGAATGCTCAGCTCATACATATTGATTATGTATACGATGAAGTTGGATAAAATCGTAAACGAAATTAAAATACCTTTGTCAAAATTGATTCACGCCCGTCTATATCAGATGGACGTTGTCATATTCAGTGCACTATGTCTAAATCCACTGAACAGTGTCGAAGTTGCGCACACTGCCTATTTTCAATGCCCCTTATCGTGAAGGCGCGTTGTGTCGATGGGAGGCGCACAATGTCGAAAGAGCACGCCTGTTGCCGGCTTAAATGAAATAAGTCTATATGACCTGCACAGATGCCGACTCGCAATGAAAAAAGGTGTAGTAGCAAACTGACCACGTGGCGTCATAGCTTAGCTACATCCTTTACACTTGAGCTTCTACTGGTTCCCGGTAGGCTAGGTGACCTCAAGCCACACACAAAGAAATATTGACACCGTTAGCGGTGTAATTGCACAGTACATATCTGAGCACTTGAGGAAGGTTAATTTAGTCCCTTCCCCGCTTAAATTACACGCATTAGCTTCTAAATGAACACCAAGAAGAAGGTAATCGAACACTGTTAGGAGGGTTGGGTGTTTTACTACACCATGATATAACGTTAACGGTGTTAAATTACACGGAGCTCTTTTTAAAAGTATGCTTATATCCTTAAGTTACCCCATTTACGCGGTTAAAAAACAGCCTGGAAGACCTTTTTTAACAAATAGTACATATCTGAGCAGTTGAAGGTTTTTTTACACCCATGGTATATCTACGAAAACACTCTTAATCTACTAAAAATATAGTTCTACGATTCTATTAATACAACGTTTTTACTGTTATAAACCACATTATAGGTATTAAAACACGTGCATATTATAATAATACCGTTGACTAATCTTAATATTTCAGGGTACATAACATTCGTAGATTCCTGCAAATGTCCAAACAAAGTGCCTCAACGAATACAAAACATGTTTATTCGCATGTTTCAAACACTGGTGTCGTAAACCAAGTATAACGAAACCGAAAATCACCATTTACGGCTAAGTTAGCACTTTCGCATCTCGCGATGACGATCCACAACCTCAAGGTTTGATTATATCGCCAAATAAGACATCCGCTAATAAACACAAAACAATTTGTCACCTATTGTAGGAGTTGGAACAAAACGTAGGACAAGTGGCCCAGAACATGCATGTATTCGAATGTTAAACAAAGGGTACACCAAAAACTTAGGCAGCAGCAACGCGTGAAACACATTCAATGACGTGGAAACATCCAACACCCGATACATAATCAAATCAAATTCTACTGACTCGGTAATCCCCTAACTCGCTATAATCCCACAGTAATTTCCTACGCATAATGACTCATAGCACTGCGGCACATCTTTGCGTCATAGCAATGACGCGTCATAGCAATGACGCATAGCACTGCGGCACTGGTGTAGGCAACCTATGCGAAACAGGAAATCACCATGGTGCTACCGTAAACAACGATTTTGTTATCATGACAAAGGCCTTTAAGAAGTGCGGCACATCTTTTGAAAGTTTTCAGAAAATTCAGGTTTGCTTTTTCAACAGCAAAAAAAAAAAACAAAACAAAAACAAAAACACAACTCTAACCAAGTGCGTCCGTATTATTGTCCCTTATGGGATTATTGCCCTGCATCAATCACTTCGACGCCGTCTCGTTGGAGTTCGCCACTGTTTGGCTGGCCGTAATCACAACAGCCCATAAGTCCACGAAGCTGTCCCACATCTTTGGCTGACTCTGAAACAAGCCAGAAGACCCGCGCTCATTTAACGATCCTTCATGTAATGCCTATTTAGGTACTTTGATCGGTTATTCGATACTTGATTCGCAATTTACTTTCATACCCTCCGAAAATAAAAACACGGTCTTGACAGGTATTATGCCCATTCCGGGCGTGGGTATTCAGCTCATACTTGGTGACTTTTCCTAAATATTCATTACGCAAACTTCAGCAAAAAAATGCCGTTTCAGGTCAGGTCAGGTCACCAGAGCGTTTTTTTTTTACCCCACCTCAGAAACGTTTGCAATCACGTCAGAGCTAGAGTTTTTCACGGAGCGATTTCACCTTTTCAGGTCATCATCACAGTACCAGTATGTGTAATTTGTATATATAAGAAATTGCATATCTGTCACCTGAGGTAAGGTCAGAGTCGTGATCTTTACATTACAAGTCCATGTGAAAATATTGAAATGCGTCCTGCTTTGAGTAAACGAGTCAAAACCATCCGATTCTTTCAGGATTATGACAGATTATCTGATCTGTAATGACTCAGATGCCATTTACTGACAAGGGTACTGGGAAGGGTCATCCGAGGTCATGTGACGTCATCAATGGTTTTTAGCTAATAAATCACGATCACGATGGTGCTAAAGACTTGTAAATGTACCAAACTGTTTGCCTGGTTATGACGCGTTGATTGGTATCCAGCGATCAGCGTGACCTTCTTAGGACAAATTTTGAAGTTGACCTTATAAGGTCATGCAAGTGTAGCGTGTGCTCGCCGGGAAAGAAAGCAACAACCTAGACCAAGATATATGTACAATAACGAGAATGAGATTTAGCGAAAGCAAATAGACAGTCCCTAAACAGAAAACCAAGGGCCCAACGCAGCGAGCCGGCCGCAGACCACGTTCGTCCGACTCCGCGCTCCCGCTCATTCTATAATTCGCCGCCGCGCGGCGCACCCCGTCCGCCCGACCGCCCGGTCACGTGACCAGTGGGCGGCCTCAGGCGGTGGCCGCTCACCGGTCGGCTGGCCGGTGGACCACCCGGCCGCCGGCCACCGCCGCGAAACGCCGTTTAGCATTTGTCACTCCGATTAGCGGTTTTCGAGATCTGAAGGGGGTCGAAAAGGCCCCCGCCCGATTCCGAACCTTCCAGAGCCCGTCCGGAGTAGGGTTATAACTTACCTTCGCGACAGGCGCACGCAGGAAAAGCTCCCGCAACCGGACGCTTCGAAACAGTCTAGCCTCCTCCACGTTTCCGCCTCAGTCATCCTGTTACTGCTGTATCTGCAGTCTGCAGCCACCATTCCACTTCTGTTCTCCACTTCATTTCCACAATATGCACCGCACAATTCGATAAACACCTAAACACCACTGATTCTTCATGGTCTGAGCACTGCCAATGCGCTTCCTTCCTTCTTTGTGGCGTCGGCCTGCCGCCAGGGGCGATTTCGGCTGTGTTGGTAATTCGTTTCTTGGATGACGTCTTCTGTATGAGGTGAGGCGGTGGCGATATTGGTGTCGTTCTGGGCAAGCCAGAACGAGTGCGAACGCTCAGGGCGTTGTACTTTTTGCGGGCGAATCCCTTGACCTTGTTCTGTTGGGCGTTGCTCAACTTCAGCTTTGTTCCTTGGCATTCGAACTTTGCGTATGTGCTGCTTTTGGGGCTGCCTCGGCGTAGTGGGTCCACCTCCACCTCTGTAAGCGGTGGAGCATGGAGGAGCAGGTGGCGATGGTCGTGTCACAACTGTACCCAGTGCGGCAGCCAGGACAGTGCATCCTTCCAGGCGGGCTGCAGATGTCGCCCGTATTCAGCGCAGATGCAGCGACTTTCGTACATTCCCACGAACAACAGGACCTTTTTTTCTCTCTCTCTCTTTCATTTTTTTCATTATTTTTTTTATTTATTTTTTTTATTCATTTTTTATTTTCATTTTTTTTTGGCTTTCTTTCCTTTTTTTGCCACTTTTTTTTGCCTCTTTTGTCAATTTGTACACTTAATGGACACAGCACAGCACAACACACATTTTTTTTAGTGAGTCTTCATTTATTATTTTTATTTCTTTATTTATTTATTTTTTTATTTTTTTTTTTATTTTTTTTTTTTGCTCACTTTTTATTTTTTACTAATTTTTTTTTTACTCACTTTTTTTTTGGGTCTCTTTCAGTATTTGGGCCGGCCCGTAGGGGGGGCCGTCTCCCCGATGTTGAAGTCTGCGCCGCCCCCGCCCCACAGGCCGGCCCGTCGAGCGCTGTCCTGCAGGTATGGGGGGGCCGGGGGGCGGGCAGCTGCTCTCGATGCTGAAGTTAGAGCCGCCCGCCCCCACGGTCGGCCCCCCGCTCCTCGTCGGTGCTGCGGCCGGCCCACGGGGCGGAAGGCAGCGCCGGAGCCGGAGCTTGCGCCGCCCCCGCCCCACAGGCCGGCCCTTCTTGTGTAGTCCTGTAGGTAATTGGGGGCCCAGGGGGGCGGGCAGCTGCTCTCGGTGTTGAAGTTAGAGCCGCCCGCCCCCACGGTCGGCCCCCGCTCCTCGTCTGTGCTGTGGCCGGCCCACGGGGCGGAAGGCAGCGCCGGAGCCGGAGACTGTGCCGCCCCCGCCCCACAGGCCGGTCCGTCGTTAAAAGATGTTGGTGTTTTGCCCTGGGGGCGGGCGGCAGCTCTCGGTGCTGAAGTTAAGCGCCGCCCGCCCCCCAGGCCGGTCTTGTTCTTGATGTCGGGCCCGTAGGGCGGGAAGCAGCCCCGCTATCGGGGGTTATGCCGCTCCCCGACCCGCAGGCCAGTCCGCCGATCTGATGGTATGAGCCCGAGAGGAGGGCGTCACGTCTGGAGTTGAAGGTGGTGCCGCCCCCACCTCTCAGGCCAGCCTGTCGTTCGCTATCGCTGTTTTTTTCCCTCATTTTTTTTTATCATTCTTATTATTTTTATTATTTTTTATTATTATTTTTTTTGTTTTCTTTTTGTGGGCTTTTCTTCGTTTTTTTCCTCTTTTGTTTTTTTTTTAACTTTGAGAAACACACATTTTCAAAGCACACATTGTCATACACATTCCTATCACACAAAAATCTTTACTTCAACACATTAAATTGTCACATATATGTCACGCATGTCTTTCTTTTTATGGCTTCGATTTTTTTTCCACGCCTCAGCCGACCAGACTGAGAAAAAAATAGCGGCGAACGCGGACGCGCATTCGTCCTTTTGCGCATGCGCGAAAGGAAACCCCCGTAAGCTACTTTGAGAACACCTCCACGGATATTTTACACCTTTCAGAAGTAACGGGTGTCTTTTAAAAGTATTTACAAGGTAATTATAGGCCTCAAGGTGTAAACGTACCGCTTTGCTGTCGTTTTAATACCTTCTTCGGTGTACATAAACTGATCCCATCTTTTTATAGTCTAGATATACTTTTTGTACCTCAACGGTGTTTGAGAAACTAACCACCTTCATTTCTACTTTGATAAAAAAGAAGGGATGTGTTATGGAAGTGTACGATCATTCTTTTGAAAATACCACTGACGTTAAATAGTGCATTCGGCGTAATTGTAGTCTCTGTAAAATATTCATGAAATACTTTGGTGTAAAATAAACCAGCTCGGTGTTAATATTTTTGTGTGTGCAGTACCTAGGGTTGTTAAAAAAAACCGAATTTTGGAAAAGTATATGGGCTCATGGTTCATGTGGTGCGGTATTCTTTTCTGAGTCCAATGATACCCTTTTTTCCGAAAAAGTATTACTGCTAGGCGCTGCTCAAACGGCTTAAAGAGGACCATGTTACGCCCGCCGACCGGCCGGTGTCAATAAGGGCGAGAATTCGACGCCGCACGGCGGCAGCAGCGCCTTATCGGCACCGCGCGCCACGACATCTGCCGGGCGGCCGGCTGGGCGGTGGGGGCGGTGGGAAGTTATAAGTGCGTGGTCTTATTGCACACGATCGGGGTGAGCTATCCCATGTTTTCGGGGCGGAAAGTTTCAGTGCAGTATCGGTGCGTCTGCCACGGTGGTCTGTGTCGATGGTATAGAAAATAACTCAAGCAGAGCTCAGAAAAGAATGAATGATTCCGGGTAGTTGCCTCGAAATAATCCGTTTCAAGAATACAGCCGCCTTCTTAACGTACTGTATCACTTGTTAATTCTTCAAAAAGCAGGCTCTGAGCAATAACAGACTTCTTTGCATTGCTGTTGACAATTTAAGTTGCTTTTGGACGGTGGCTCGCAGCCCCAATATGCTGCCGCGTAACTCTATTCCAACGACGAAACGGCAACTTAGCGAGAATCGAAAATTTAACGAAGTAGGTACAACAGGAGCTGGCAAGGCTCCTGCATTGGTCTATCCGTCATGAGTGACACACCGGGGTAATGTGTCACGTCAGGGCAGAGCTGTGTTCTATGCCGGGTCTGGATTCGGGTCTTGATCGGCATCGGTGGGCACGGCCGCCCTGGCCGGACTGCCGGCGTCGCTTATGCTCGAAGGATTGGATAAACGGCGCTTGATTTATATGAGTAGGTACTCCGGCTAATGTCTCTACTCATGTCTCACTTCGTCACACTGTCAGGGTGGCCACTCTGTCATTCCCAGACATGTTATGTTTTCTTTCGACCCGCTAATCAAAGTTACACCTGGCGTCGATTCTGTTGCCCCAGCATCTGACATCAACGTATCTGAATAATGACATTGGTGACGCATATGCTCGTCAAAGCCACCCCCAAACTTGGGCCGATGACTGTCGGGTCTCCTCCATATTCTGTCCTTGTGCATACTGCATTGCCAGCCCCTGCTGTACGTATATCGTGAATTTTCGATTCTCGCGAAGTTGCCGTTTCGCCGTTGGAATAAAGTTGCGCGGCAGCATATTGGGGGTGCGAGCCACCGTCAAAAACTAACGTAAATTGTCAACAGCAACGCAAAGAGGTGTGTTATTGCTCAGAGTTTGCTTTTTGAAGAATTAACAAGTGATACGGTACGTAAAGAAGGCAGCTGTATTCTTGAAACGGATTGTTTCGAGGCAACTACCCGGAATCATTCATTCTTTTCTGAGCTCTGCTTGAGTTATTTTCTATACCATCGACACAGACCACCGTGGCAGACGCACCGATGCTGCACTGAAACTTTCCGCCCCGAAAACATGGGATAGCTCACCCCGATCGTGTGCAATAAGACCACGCACTTATAACTTCCCACCGCCCAGCCGGCCGCCCGGCAGATGTGGCGCGCGGTGCCGATAAGGCGCTGCCGCCGCCGTGCGGCGTCGAACTCTCGCCCTTATTGACACCGGTCGGTCGGCGGGCGTAACATGGTCCTCTTTAAGCCGTTTGAGGAGCCCCTAACAGTTAATACTTTTCAGTAAAAAGGGCATCATTGGTCTCAGAAAAGAATACCGTACCACATGAGCCATGAGCCCATATACTTTTCCAAAATTCGGTTTTTTTGAACAACCCTAGTGTGCAGGTCAGTGTGCTTGTGTCATTTGTTACCAACATGCCGAGCCGCCGCCATACAGTTTGTGCCGCGGACTGCGAGAGAATAATCCAAGCGGTGGCAACGATAACGTTGCTGTGGCCCAAGGTAGAGTTCTGCACGGCTGCAATTTTCCACAGCCTAGCCGCCCCGCAGCCGTGGCTCCACAGCCACAGCCGCCCACAGCCGTGGCAAACTGTGGGCAGCCAGCCGTCAGCCGGCCGTGGATACTTTCAATGAAATGCTACCAAATAGTATATAATAAGTTGTTTTTAGTTGAAACATATAGCCAAAAGCACATTGCAATGGGCTATAGATTCTCAAGCTCATGAAGCATCATAGGTTAAGTGGTTGTGTATCTGGCTTTCGGCCGAAGGCCTGAAGCCTGATGCGCAACGCATGCCTACGCAAGCCCTTGCAAGGAGTTAAGAAAGATGGGTAGGTAGGTACCTACATCAACAGAAAACATAAACAACGAACCAGAATAGAAGCACTAGCAGTGTAGACATCTAATGCCAAATCCTGAAGCATGGTTGTGGGACAGAACAACAGACCCTGATGCTTTTCATTATCAATGTTAGGTATGGAAAATGAAACTGAAGTTGATGGACTGTCAAACAGTGATTGTCTAGTCAAAACTCTTGCTTCTTTCTTACCTTGCATATTTTCTGGGGTGTGATATGCCAGACTTGAAGCAGCCTTCTGGGCAAGTCTCAAACTAATTTGATATGCAAGGCATCAAAACAGTAGTGAGCATCCAAGAAAGAAAAACATTCTTCTATTTTGATTTTTCCAAATAATGATCTTCGCTCAAATCCCCAAGGACGTGCGAGCCACAATTACCTCTTAATCAAAAATTCTACTTGAGTTTTTAATGACGTCAATAGCAAAGAAGTGGCAATTAATTGTTTTGTGTCACTATAAACAGCCATAAAAATTATAAATAATAAATAATAATGCTATACAGTTAAAAACTTGCTCTCAAATAAAGATTAAGTATCAAATTTTTACATTTTTAGAAGAAGACGTCATTTTATTAGTAAAGTCAACAGCTCGCGTAAGAAATATTGTGTTCAGGGTTTTCACCGTCATGTGAATTACGTGTTCAGGGTTTTCACCATCATGTGAATTAACCGTAAGTAAGGTTCATGTTCACTTATAATCTAATTCCATTGGCTTCATTGATCAGCATTTTCTGTTAGCGGTCACTCACACACCAGTTAGAACATAAAGCGCCAGTTTTATATTATGTAATTGGACTTGCCGAAAATCCAGAAATACATCTAAGAGTTATTTTAGATAATATTTTATGAAGCATTTACCTGCCTTTACCTAGGCGTGATTTCTTTTTCTATTAGGTACCTGAAAGAATTTTTGAACGCTGTCTTCAATAGCTGTAAGGTGCTCTCCTAATGACCAGGTGAGATTGATTTGAGAGGGATGTGACAATGCAACATGCTGCATTTTCTGAAACTGTCAAGCTCTTGATGATGAAGGAACA